AGTTTTACTGAGTTAACGCGGCTATGGATGACATGTAAATGATTAGTCTTTTTGCCCTCCAGCGTTGTATGCTGCGCGAAATTTACGTACGTTCAGTAACATGCATGGTGTCTAAGTCATAAGTCAGTGCCTCACCAGCAATGAACCTCACTGCACGTCACTGGTTCTGGTATATTTTTATTGTGTCTCTAATGGGGAATAAAGCAATCTCTTGTATTTTCTTTCTTATTTTATTATTTAAATATGAGAATGTCTTTTTTTTTGAGTGGAGGCAGTGGCAGCATCATGTTCTGGAACGTTTTTGCTGCACGAGGAACTAGTGCACAAGGAAAGAATATTCCATTCTCAACCACAAGCAAATTGCTTCATTTACTCTATCCTTGTCCTTTTTCTTCTGAAATTACTGACAAATGAAGGCCACTAATGCCTAATCATTAAAAGAAAAAGATATCCATATTAAGTATTCAGTTTTGACTAGCTGATATGACTAGCTGATATTATTTGCAAGACATGAGTTTGGCTTCCACTGTGAGGGAATCTGGTGAACCAATCATTAGCTGTTCAATCATTAGATTGAACGTTTGGTCCAGCGTTTCAACCAGCCAGGACTCTTAAGAGTGCTTAGAGTTTGCATGTTCTTCCCATGTATGTGTGGATTCTCTGAGAACATTAAAAAACATCATAGTTACTGATTGAATCATAAAAACAAAAGGCTACAAGTGAGATCCAGTTACTGTTTTTTGTCATCTGTTATTGTCAACCATTAAAACGTGATATGAACTGCAATCTTCCTGTTCTGTCTTTCAGGATGATGGGGAGCAGATAACCTCTACTTTTTGACATTTCTTCAACCTAAGTGAGCCCACCTTCCCTTTTTCTGAAAGCCGAGTCATTTTACCTCTCATTCAATGAGTTCTTCAGGATTTCATGGATTGCAGGAACTCCAGAGAAACATCATGCAAGTTTGTTTTAACTTGGCCTTCTGTTCTCCTGATGCACTCCTGACAAATAATAAAAAAGAATGAAATGAAAACCATGTGAGCAGAAATATTATCCCTGTTTGTATAGTATTGTAACCTTGGGTTGTTGAACTTCCATTCTGTTATCAGAGATTCCCTACCAACACCATTCATTTTGTCTGGTTTGTAGGCCATGGTTCGCAAAAAAAGTTCTTTCATATTATGTGGTGCTTTCCTGTTTGTTGCCTGGAATGTGTTGCTTCTGCTTTATCTTTGGGGTCGACCTCCCATTGGCCGCCTTGGAGATGGTGGAGGAGTCGAACCAGGGGGGAAAGAAGAGTGGGGTGCTGGAAGGGGTAAAATGGGCCAAGTCAACCTTGCAGAAGAGATGATTCGGCTGGCAGAAGAAGTTGAAGTTCATCTTGATACCCAGAAAAAGCTACTGAAGCAGATTGAAATTCACAGAGAAGTGTGGGCTCGGCAGAAGGATCTTGGGAAAAGGGAAACTGGTTCTAATATCAAAGAAGCAGGAGACCAACAGCAGCCTCAGAAAACTCTAAGACCTCTCAGAAACAGTGTGGATGCTGGGGACCAAACTAATACACAAAGGCCTGTTCATAAGGTAGCACCAAGCTTACCTTTAGAAGAGCCTAGTGAGAAAATCAGAAACATTAAAGTGACAACTCCCATTCCCAGCCCAGAATTCATTATTCCTATCCTGGTTATTGCTTGTGACAGAGTCACAGTGAAGCGGAGCCTTGACCGACTCATATCGTACCGTCCTTCTACAGAACTATATCCAATCATTGTTAGTCAAGACTGCGGCCATGCAGACACAGCTCGTGTGATTGGTTCATATGGAGAGCAAGTGACACATATAAAACAGCCAGACCTTGCTGACATCAAGGTCAGGCCAGAGCACAGGAAATTCCAGGGCTACTACAAAATTGCCAGACATTATCGATGGGCACTCAACCAAGTTTTCAACACCTTTTCCCAGTCTACAGTGGTCATAGTCGAGGATGACTTAGAGGTGAGCTTTTTGACATATTTTCTCATAACCTACAGGTGTGGTACAGTAGACATTATGTTTGAGTGATTAAACTCTGCAACTTACACATGCTGCACAGGCACTGCTGGGGAAAAATACTCCAAGCTACTTCTGTTTAACTTTAATGTTACCGACCGAATTGAAGCCCAAGCAATGCCTTTATTGATTATTTGGGAGTTACTGACAATGGCCCACATAGTTGAAGTGTACCTAACTAATACAAATATAAAGGTAATGCCATAGTAATTATGATCATTGAAAAAAGTCTCAGAATTTAACTGACTGTAAAAGAAGAACTAGTGCTACTTTAGAATTATTGAGGTTAAACAGACGCCTTTGCTGTTTATATTTATCTGTTTGTACAGCATTCCTAAACTGAAAAAGCTGATGTGTATCTCTTCTCCTATTCAGGTGGCACCAGACTTTTTTGAATATTTCCGGGCCTTGTATCCCATTTTACGCTCTGACCCCACCCTATGGTGTGTTTCTGCTTGGAATGATAATGGCAGAGACGCTTTGGTTGATCCTTCGAAAGCTGAGCTCCTTTACAGAACAGACTTCTTTCCTGGTCTGGGCTGGATGTTGCTGAAGGAGTTATGGAATGAACTAGAACCAAAATGGCCTTCAGCCTTCTGGGATGACTGGATGCGTCAACCTGAACAGCGCAAAAACCGCTCCTGTATAAGACCGGAAATCTCCCGGACTATTACCTTTGGCAGGAAAGGTGTCAGTTTAGGTCAATTCTTTGACCAATACCTGCGCTATATTAGGCTAAACACTGAGTTTGTGCCTTTCACCAAACAGGATTTGTCTTTTTTGCTAAAGGAGAAGTATGATGAAATCTTTGTTCAAGAGGTTTATAGTGCCACATTGGTGAAGATTGAAGATCTTCAGCATGGGGGTAATTTAAAAGGACCTGGACCGTACAGGGTGCAGTACTCCAGCAGAGATAGTTTTAAAGTCTTTGCTAGAAATTTGGGGGTGATGGATGACTTAAAATCTGGAGTTCCTCGCACAGGTTACAGAGGCGTAGTCAGCTTCTTACATCGTGGCCGAAGGGTCTTCTTAGCCCCACCGGAGGGCTGGACGCAGTATGACATCAGCTGGAGCTGAGAGTCACCCAAAGTGTACAGTAAATTTTGCTAAAGACTAATGCTCTCTGAGACCAAAGAATATTTGACACATTGAGGGCAACGCAACACAAATGGGACTGCTCATCAATGGAATAAGGTCGTGGTGACCCTTTTTCAATAAGGGAAAACCTTTAGGGGAAAAAAAACTAAAACGGTTTAAAAACACTTACTGGCCATGTGCCTTGCTTTTTGGACCATGTTCTTGTGTTCAGTTCTAAATGAGAACATCAGCAGGACTTACCAATATTATTTGCAGTAGTTGCAGGTAGAAGGTAGAAGTCAGGCATCCTCGATGCCCTGACTTTCTTGATGTCAGTGCATCAATCCTTGATGTGGAAAGAGACACAAGAGGTAAACTCAAAGGTCAGCATTTGAAAAAGGAGAATATCTGAAATGACTTGTATTTTCTTTGTTTTTTCTTTTGAAAAAATTATCCAATTCAAACTCAGTTACTTCAGGAGTCCTTGACACTAACTATAATAACTATAATTGTAAAAAAAAAAAAAAGTTTTATCTAAAATCAAATGGAATAAGTCAGCAAGATTTTAGATTATGCAAAAAAAAAAAATCAATGTTGAGCAAAGCTGTTTTTCCTTTTGAAGTCCATTAGTTTACACAACTTGTATCCAGATATAAAAGAATGTGCTAAACAAGCAGTAACACTAATCACATCTAACAGCAGTAAATTGGGACTGAAAATAGTCAACAGGCCTACATTGCACTCTTCTGGAATTCTGCACAGGAGGCAAGCAGTACTTTAAAATGTGACTATTGAAAACACAAAGGCATAGTCTTTGATTAACATGTCTGACCAAAATTGTGTTAATTTGCTCAGATTCCAATATGAAAACAACACTGTAATATAAAGTATCTGATCCTATTTTAGGCCTACACATTCACTTATTGAGCTAGTGAGTAGTTCCAAATCTGAAGACCTATTTTCCAAATGGACATTGTCTCAGCCTGTTGCCAGTTTCTACAGGAGACTGCTAATAACCCCTTCATTCAGATCAGGTATGTTGAAGCAGGAACAGATCTGGAAGATCCAGGACCAGGGGTCTTGTCTGCCCCTGAGAATCAGCCCTGATTCTTAGCACAAACTCCCAAACATTTATCAAATGTTTCTCTGCTTCAACAAGCATGATTTTAATTGGTGATGGATTAAGAAACTTCTTTAAGATCTGATGACAAGCTTCTTTTGTGTTGGAGCTGGGAAACTTAAAAAACATGAAGGTTACTAATGCGGTAACCTAAGCAGTAGTGTTGAGAACTACTGGAATGGATATTTATGCCATAAAAATTACAAGGATTGTTTTTGGGTGGTTTGTTTATGTATTTTACTTGACCAGCAGCAAATCGAAGGATGTTCTTGGTGCAGTGATAATCTATTTCAGACCATTGAGATGGATAATTAGGAATTAGTTGTTGAAATTAAATACCATATTACATCAGTCACTGGATGAATAAATTAAATGAGGTGCTGGAAATAAGATTTTTAGTGGATGTCCTGAATTAAGTTTTTAAAACTGCAAATGAGACTGAACCGAGTTGGATCAGATCATCCTGATGATGTATGATGAGGCCCTGGAATGTGATGAATTTTAACAATGACATCTAAACTCTTCTTTTTGCTGTTTTAGGTTCCATGTAAATCCAACAAATGTTATGTTTGTCCTGCAGCAAACGGGAGATTGTTATCACTGTACTGTAATTAACTTTGGGTTATTAGAATACCATTTCTGTACGGTGATGTGAAAAACCACTGCCGGAACTGTTTATAACTTTATTACAGAATAAATTAAATCAAATATTTTGATATTTGTGTACTTACTGAAGAAGTCTCATCTGATTAATATTACTGAACTTAATGTTCTGTTCTTGTCATTCATATATTGTCACAATGAAAAAAAAAAAAAAAGATCAGACTGATTTAAATTAAATAATAGAGGTCCTAGGATTGAGCTTTGTGGTACCCCAAACAAAAGTCACCACAAGATGACTTTTGTCAGGTGACTTCTGTCCGCTTTGATGAGAAGTTTCTTATTAAAACAAAGAAATCTCAGTTCTTTATGTAAGATTCGAACCAGTTGAGTACTGGGTTGGAGATTCAGTCAATTCAGTAATATGTCATGGTCGACAGTGTCAAAAGTTGCATTGAGGTCCAACTGAACCAGCACTGTGGTTCTTCCACATTCTGTATTTATATGGATATAATTGAACACTTTGACAAGGGCAGTCTCTGTGCTGTGGTGAGTATGAAAACCAGACTGAAAGACGTCAAAGTGGTTGGTTACTTGTTAGGGAGTTACTTAACTATTAAAACAGCTTTTACAATAATTTTGCTGATGAATGGGAGGTTGGAAATCGGCCTGTAAATTTGAAGCAGTAAGTTGTCCAGATTGCTCTTTTTTTTATCAGTGGTTTGATAACTCGTGGTTAGTAGTTGGATGGAGCCATTTATTATCAAACTGTGTTTACTGTATTTACTCATTTTAAATCATAATGAAACTACCCAAGTGACCCTGATCAAAAGTTTACATACCCCAGTTCTTCATATCGTGTATTGCTCCCTTTAACATCAGTGACAGTTTGGAGTGTCTTGTGGTTGTTGTGAGTTAGGTTGTTAATTTATTCTTGACGGTAAAACTGCCCCTTCTTCTTCCAGAAAGCGCTTCCAGTTTCTCTAAACTCCTGTGTTGCATGAACTGCAGTTCAGTTAAATTTTATGCATACAGCACCAATTCACAACAAATATCATCTCAAGGCACTTTACAAGAAAAGCATTTAAATTCAATCACGCATACTTTGTTTTTATCCTAGTTGTCAAACAGTTTGCTTAATTAATTCTTCAAAGTGGATAAAAAAGTTCTTAAGGAAACCCAGCAGATTGCATCGAGTCATTGACTTGATGCAATCTCTCCTCCTGGACAAGCATGCAGACAATCACCTGCAATGTATGGCTGACTTTACAGCAATCCCTCATATCGAGCATGCATGGTGTGACAGTGGGGAGGAAACTCCCTCCTGTAACAGGAAGAACCCCAAGGGCATAACTTTGTGTTGAAAGTTGGTGGGGATGCATTGTGAAGAAGAGGACTATGGGGGTGGGAGGTGATAGGCTGAACAAATGTTCACATTCTTTATTGGCCACAGTTTATGCGACTGGAAAACCTTTTTTAGTGCTAAGAAAGGTCAAAACTTAAATGTGAATGCCATATGCAGTCTTATTCAATAAGCTTGTCATATTAATGGTACCTTTTGATAATAACCCTTTAGCGGGTGTTAAACATACTAACAGTTATAAAGATGTTAAAACATCAGTCATCTAATTAATCTATATAATGTGTTTCACTTGGTGATGGAATTACTAAATATTGAACTTTTCAATCAAATTCCATTTTATGGAACAGGTCTGTATATTTGCTCAATGCTTCCCTACAGTTGAAAACAGTTACAAAATTTGGTAATACTTTCTGTGAAAAATTATCACAATAATATAGCTCCCAGGCTCCCAGCCTGATTTTATGAAGTGCTCAAAAACATCAACAACTGTCCATAACAGTCAAAATGTCACTAAAGAATTCAAAAAACAGAATAAATAACTTCTGTGTAAGCTAAATGAATCCTTGTCAGTGCAAACTTTGTATTTTTCAATCATGTGATTCTGATTCCACAGCTGACCCTGAATTGGCTGACATAAAGCTGGGCCCTGCTGAATTACACATAGCAAACGCATTTATTTACTGTGAAAAGATACAATAAGACAGGTTTTAATTCATTTTTCATATCCTTTTCTGTCTCACCTGCGATTCTGCAGCTGTCCCTGGTTCTGTACGCTGCTGAAAAGCTCATAACGTTCTAGTGATGCTAGTGTAACCACTTTCCAAGTCACAACTATGTCTCTGCTCTTGTCAAAGTTTTCAGTGGGACTTTTTTGGGGCAGTTGGGGAGTACAGTGTCCATCATTATTAGTGAATTGCACATCACCTATTAGCCATTACAGCTAGTGATGTGTACCTGAAGATGCCTTTACTATGCATTGAGTCATGTCCACAAAACCCATCCTGTTCTAATGCAGGATGAGCAGGAATCTGTCACAAAAATGGTTGTAGCCCTCATATTTCTTATCCAATTTCTATAGAATGTGGTTAAATTAAGACTGATAAAAGTGCTGATGTTTGGATATGTAAAATATGTATTCTCTCTGGATGTAAAACTATTAACAGCTTCAATTCTGTCAGGAAGCAAGAGAGAACTAAACAAATTTCTCTTTTAAAATGGCCAATCATTTAATTTTACTTTAATTAGGAGTAGGAGCCATGGTTTAAAATTTAACAAACTTTGGCTCCTATAGTTTATAAAATGTTTCATCCTATTTGTTGATTGCTTTGAATATGACCACATTATATGAATAAATGACACAATCTGACCAGGGAAAACCCCCCGTAGAAAAACAGATGAAAAACAACTTAAAACCAGTTTTCTGTTTTTTCTCTTAGTGCGTGTCAGCTTAAGCCTTAACGTCACACGCAGACCCGTTGACATGGCAACCAGCAAACAACAGATCTTTCGTAGCCATTCAAACTTGTTTGTCAAATTGTTTGTCAAATTGTGTGTAATTGTGTGTAGACCAAAATCACTAGCGTATGTAAACATTTGATCAGGATCAAAGGGGAGTTTCTTCTGTCATTATGATTTAAAAAGAGTTTGATAATCAATGGCTTCACTCAATCTCTAAACAGGAGTGAGAAAAAAAGGTTTTTCTGTTATAATTCATATTCTATTAAAAAAATGACCAAAAAAGAAACATACAGGGTATGTAAACTTATGAGCACAATAGATAGATAGATAGATAGATAGATAGATAGATAGATAGATAGATGCTCTATTAATCCCATGTGGGAAATTGTTTTGTTACAGCAGCTGCAAGTGAAATTATTCAATGTATGCACATAAGGCTTTAATTCAGAGCAGTGTCTCTTTACTGGACATGTCAGATCTGGCTTCTGTCTTGGGTTTGTGTAGCAAGCAGCCATACACAACAAAGGGCAGTTCAGTAAAATCTAAGTTTTTTTTAGATGCGTTCCCAGAAAGATTTGAATATACACATGAGTTTCTTAAAGTGGAAAAGATCATCTCTGTTATGCAAAGTAAGCTGAGATCAGCAGTTCCTCAGCTTCCTCATTGATTAGAGTTGCTTCCTTTTCTACATCCTGTTTCACAAACATGTTCCGGAAGGCTCACAAAAAAGTGCTAAATTTGCCTGTTTCAGGTCACGGGGTCCTAACCAGTGACTTAGCAAATAATTTAAACAAAAGACTGAAAGGATCAGTTCCTTGCGCAAACAGTACAATGTCAACACAGCTAAAAACAAATGCGGCAGAGTATTTCTTCCTTTGCAAGGATACAGGCACATGTATATATTTTTTTAAATTACGTTTAAATGCAATATTTATTGCCAATTGTTTCAGAAAGTGAAAAGGTCACTATAGAGAGTCATTTCACATTTTAAACTGTTATTCTTTGCCGTTTTAATGATTATGGTATTTAGGTAAAGAAAGCCAAAGATTAGATGTCTCAGATAATTACAAGATTACATTAGAGCAGTGGTCTCAAGCTGCATTCCTCAAGAGCCAGAGTCCTGCAACATTTCGATAAGTCCCTTGTTCTATATTAAATAATGAAACTGCTTCACTAGCATTACTAGTACTAGTATTACTCTGGAGAGTTTTGCTAATGAGCTGATGTTAGAGCCAGGTGTGCTGAAGCAGAGAGACATCTAAAGGTTGCCGGAGACCATCCCGTTCTGTGTGTGTGCTCAGAGAAGCAGCTTGGGAGAAGAAACTCTGTAGGTCAAGGTTGGTTTCTATAAATAGTAATCTCGAGCTCTAAAATGAAGGCAGAAGCTGAACTGTTTGTGTCCAGGATGTATGGGGTCTGCAGTGATTTCAGTTGCCCCTTTTCGTGAACCTTGACCTGAACAAGTCCTGGATGTAAGATAAGTCAGCACTGATAATCCGTCTCTATCCCACCTTTTCCCTAAAGCTAAGGAATTTTATTTTAAGATGCTCTCTGTACTGCTGTTATTATTACTGATATTTTTCCTGTGACACGTCATTGACAAAATGACGTGTCACAGAATCAAACAAATTCTATCCCACTCGAATAGGCTGACCACCTGATGCTGACCAGCTGGTCAGCATCACAGGAGCACCACAGGGAACTGTACTCTCACTATTCTTTTCACTCTTTACACTTCACACTTCCAGCACAAATCCGACTTCTGTCATCTACAGAAATACTTAGATGACTCTGCAGTTGTTGGGTGTATCAGAGATGGACAAGAGGCTGAGTCATAAGTCAGTTGTTGAGTGTATGCTTTTTTGCCATCATCTGTTGAGGCAGCAGCATGAGAACCAGGGACCTAAAAAGGCTCAACAGCCTGATAAAGTAGGCTGGTTCTGTTCTGGGGATGACTGTGGAACCTCTGGAGATGATTATGCAATGAAGGATTTGCAGATCAGTTTCTCAAGATACTCTTGAGAAAGAGTATCTTCAGACAGAAGCTTCTTCAGATTCAATGTAATGCAGTGAATCCCTTTGGGATTAATAAAGTATTTTTGAATATGAATTCAATATGAATTCATAATCATTCTTTCTAAGATTATCTAATTTCTTTAATGTCAGGTTTCCTCATGTCTCAGGATTCTCTAAAAAGTTATTATGATTGGTGTTCTTGGATTGATTAAAAATATATTTCCTAGATGTAATTATTTTCGTTTTTGAATGAATACATTTCAATTCCATGAATCTAAACTGATACTTCACATATAACTTTGACATTTTGTATATAAGTTCTTCAAAAGGAGCTCTAAAACTCTAATATACCATACTTTTTTCATTTGTAAATTTTCTTATTTATGTGACATTTTAGAAAAGTTAGATGGGAAAAACGTTTTAGTAACTGCAATGCCATTGCAAACCAGAAGAAGGCAGTAAGGCGGGACAAGGGATGTCAGCCGGTGTTAAACGCCAAAGAAGAAGACATCCGGCATGTGAAAACAGAAACTTGTGATTGTTCGTGGCTGCTGAGTGTAAAAGGTAAGTCTTACAAATGTATAGGAAAATCACAGAGAGAACACCTGTCACCTTCTCATGTTATACACCTCGTAAAGAGATAATGATGCAAACTTCAGTCTGAAAGAAAATACACGGATGGTAGCATAACGTTACATTAGCTTCCGGTGTTGTTTTGTTTTTTTTTCGGATCGGGAAACGACACGAGGACCTGTAATTATTGTAGATCAGTTAAACAGTGGAACAAGTCTTATTAGAATGTAACAAATATTTAGAGGAACGTCAGCATTTAAAGTCAGTTAAACAGAGAAGAAAAGTATTTTCTATAATCAATGTATTAGATGTGTCAAAATCAATTTGATTTTGACACATCTAATACATATATATATACATATATATATATATATATATATATATATATATATATATATATATATATATATATATATATATATAAATAAAACCCAGGTTGTTTAATCGTATTAAACATATGTATACACACGCTCACACTCCCCTGTGTTGTGTGTTTTCATCAATTCCCTCAGAATATCATTTACGATTGCAGTCTGGTAGGTGGCGGCAGGGGCGCCGCCAGAAATCTTGGGCCCGCTGACAAAAAATTAGATTGGGCCCCCCGCGCAGCTACTGTTTCAATTTTTTGAATCTATTTGACCCATAAAAAGCGTCACAATTTTAAAGGCTTGCAACTGCCTTGCTTACTGTGGTCCAATATTGATACTAGCACAATATTTACTGCTCATGAATTTTACATCCAACAGTCCACATCCAGTATGCAAGTAGGTTGCTTACATTTTTTTCTATTAGTTATAGATTACTGAAATGTCTCTCCCCATGAGCAACAGTCAAAAGCAATGTGCAACTACACATGAAGCAATCCAGACTTCTCAAAAATGCTAGTAGTTGCATTTATTCAAGCTGCAGTACATAACTTTAATAAAAAAGTTTTCTCTATATTTGTTAAACCTGTCACTTTAACAAATACGGTACAGACCAACAGTTTGGACACACCTTTTCATTCAGAGTTTTCTTCATTTTCATGACTATGAAAATTGTAGATTCACACTGAAGGCATCAAAACTATGAATTAACACATGTGGAATTATATACTTAACAAAAATGTGTGAAACAACTGAAAATACATCTTATGTTCTAGGTTCTTCAAAGTAGCCACCTTTTGCTTTGATTACAGCTTGGATTTCGCACACTCTTAGCATTCTCTTGATGAACTTCAGTCACCAGAAATGGTCTTCCAACAGTCTTGAAGGAGTTCCCAGAGATGCTTAGCACTTGTTGGCCCTTTTGCCTTCATTCTGCGGTCCAGCTCACCCCAAACCATCTCGATTGGGTTCAGGTCCGGTGGAGGCCAGGTCATCTGGCGCAGCACCCCATCACTCTCCTTCTTGGTCAAATAGCCCTTACACAGCCTGGAGGTGTGTTTGGGGTCATTGTCCTGTTGAAAAATAAATGATGGTCCAACTAAACGCAAACCGGATGGAATAGCATGCCGCTGCAAGATGCTGTGGTAGCCATGCTGGTTCAGTATGCCTTCAATTTTGAATAAATCCCCAACAGTGTCACCAGCAAAGCACCCCCACACCATCACACCTCCTCCTCCATGCTTCACGGTGGGAACCAGGCATGTAGAGTCCATCCGTTCACCTTTTCTGTACAAAGACACGGTGGTTGGAACCAAAGATCATAGGTTTGGACTCATCAGACCAAAGCACAGATTTCCACTGGTCTAATGTCCATTCCTTGTGTTCTTTAGCCCAAACAAGTCTCTTCTGCTTGTTACCTGTCCTCAGCAGTGGTTTCCTAGCAGCTATTCTGCCATGAATGCCTGATTCACACAGTCTCCTCTTAACAGTTGTTGCAGAGATGTGTCTGCTGCTAGAACTCTGTGTGACATTGACCTGGTCTCTAATCTGAGCTGCTGTTAACCTGCGATTTCTGAGGCTGGTGACTCGGATGAACTTATCCTCCGCAGCAAACCAAATGATGGGTTCGCTGACTCTTCCTTTTCTGGGGCGGTCCTCATGTGAGCCAGTTTTTTTGTAGCGCTTGATGGTTTTTGCGACTGCACTTAGGGACACTTTCAAAGTTTTCCCAATTTTTCAGACAGACTGACTTTCATTTCTTAAAGTAATGATGGCCACTCGTTTTTCTTTACTTAGCTGCTTTTGTCTTGCCGTAATACAAATTCTAACACTATATTCAGTAGGACTATCAGCTGTGTGTCCACCTGACTTCTGCACAACACAACTGATGGTCCCAACCCCATTTATAAGGCAAG